GCTTGTCATCAGCTGAGCTTTTGTGGTGGATCACCCCCACCCTGCAATTGCGTTGCCCCAAGCAGTCATTTGGGCGGCTAGAGAACCGTTCTGGAGATGTTCTTCCAAGTCAAATATGATTGCACCTTTCATCTGTACAATGAGGAAGTCAAAATACAAGTCTATGAAACTGTCTAATCCTGGGACAGATCTGTGTATAGTCGTCTACTCTGGTTGGTCCCTCCCTCCCCAACAACACAGTGATTCCCTGAGTAGGGGTGCCAGGAATTGAATCAGCTCCTTCCAAAGTGCATACTTGTTCTCTGAACCCCAGTCTTTATTGTTTCTATACTTATTTACTGGAAGTCACATGGCAGGCAAGGAGCCAGAATTATACCTTTATTTTCTCCTCCACCCAGATCTTCTCCTTTGTAGTGTTGTATAATTAGAAAAAAACCAGGAAACTCACGGAACCGCATACAGGTAGTTTTGCTTTCACTTTAATTGTGGTTACATGACATTTTTCAATGGATTTTGCTTGTACTTCGAAGCCCCATTGCAATGCTGCAAAAGATATGGTTGAGGGGGAGACAAAAGGAAAGATCGAGGCAAGAAACCCCCACACTCATTAGTTATGAAAGATAGAAAGTATGCTCCACGCAAAGTTACACACTTTTCCAGTGGTTTAGTGGGAGAAATGACGCAACTGTGAGAGTGGTTGTATAGTTTAGCTTGATCTGTTTTCCAGTGTTGTCGTAACAAATGGTTGGTTTTTTAGCCAAGCCATCCAGGTAGGGGTGCCAACCCTCAGGACGCGCTTGGAGATCTGGAATTACAACCAATCTCCAGTTGACAGATCAGTTCCCCTGGAAGAAATGGCTGTGTTTGGAGAGTGGGCTCTATAGCATTGTACCCCACTAAGCTCTCTCTTCTCCCCAAACTGTGTCCCTCCCCATGCTCCACCCCCAAAATCTCCATACATTTTCCCACCCTGGAGTTGGCAACCTTACACCCAGTCAACACAAGGAGATGGTTGCTAATTGAACACCTTCCAGATATCCTTCCCGTTTCTTTTATGGCTGGTTTCCATTTTACCCAAAATGCAAGAAGTCAGTGGGAATAATCCCCAGCCAAGCACGCACAGAATTTCAGGAAGATTCTCTTGACACTTGACTGAATGGTGTCCCTGGTAAAAAAAATCAAGCAGTATGTGGTTGCACCCTGCAGCTGTTGAGTGCCCTTCTCCATGCTCTGATTTCAGAGTAAATCTTATTGAACTCAGATCCAGGTGGGTAGCCATGTAGGTCTGGAGCAGTAAAACAAAGTGTGAGTCCAGTGGGGCACCTTTAAGACCAACAAAGTTTTATTCCAGGAATGAGCTTTCGTGTGCACGCACACTTCCTCAGATAACATTGAAATGGAAATTAACAGTCCATACAGTCCTCTGTGTATATGCGCCTGCATACAAAAGCTTATACCTTAAACAAAACCTTGATGGTCTTAAAGGTGCCACTGGACTCAAACTTTGTTTTATTGAACTCAGTGAGATTTACTTCCAAGAAAACCAGCATGTACCAGATCTGGCTGTGTACAATATGTTTACTCCAAAGTGAGCCCCATTGAGATCAGCTTCATCCACTTGGAAGTAAGTGTTGTAGAGTTTCGTAGGAACTGGGGATGATGAACTAAATGCTCTTGGTCACCTAAATAGCCCAATGGTCACATCTTATTGCCAGAGAAGCTGTTCGTTTTAACAAAAATGCCGTGTAGGACATGGAATGGAGAGTCCTGAGTTCCATCTCAGGGATGGAAGGACCTGCATGGTGCTGTTTTGAGAGATGCAAAGGGAAGGAAAGGGGTAACAAATGTTCTTTTGCCTCAAAGTCTGGCAGTTTGGGAAACAAAACAATATGGCCACCCTCAGGTGGCTAGATTTAGCCCAAAGCCTGCCAGTTAGAGACTCCCAACTTTGGACCACTCTAATCAAAAGTGTGTTGACACTTTTCATAATTCAGACTGACAATAATTTCCAGTTTGCTGTGGCATGAAAAAGTGCCATCTCATTCAGTGTGTTCAGAAACTGCGTACTGCTGAATGTCCTGCGTGCATGACGCACGCTTCTACGCATGGGCACTCAAAAGTAAAAACGACAAGTTCAGTGGAGCTAAGCAGGCGGAGAACTGCAGCCTGACTTGGAAAGTTCAGCAAGACAAGTTGCCAAGAAAACATGCACTGGATCAAGTGGAAAGTATGTTGACTTGGAAGCCAATCTTATTGGGCTCATTGGGACTTAAAGGTAAAGGTTCCCTTGCTCAAAAGCCAGTCGAATCCGACTCTAGGGTTGCGGTGCTCATCTCTGTTTCAAAGCCGAAGAGCCAGCACTGTCCGAAGACATTTCCGTGGCCATGTGGTCGGCATGACTAAACACCAAGGCGCACGGAACGCTGTTACTTTCCCACTGAAGTGGTACCTATTTATCTACTTGCAATTTCTTGCTTTTGAACTGCTAGGTTGGCAGGAGCTGGAACTAGAGACGGGAGCTCACTCTGTCATGTGGCACTCAGGTCTCGAACTGCTGAACTACTGACCTTCCACAGCCTGCAGTTCAGTGTCTTAACCACTTGAGCCACCGCATTGGGACTTACTCCAGGATAATGGGGGAGAGGACTCCAGACTTACCGGGCAGTGCCCCATTAATCACAGATGGGACTTGTATGCCTGTGTTAAGGGCTGTCAAGTCATTTCTTGAATTATAGCAACCGTATGAATTAATGACCCTCCAAACATCCTATCGTTAACAGCCTTGCTCAGGTCTTGCAAACTGAGGGCCACAGCTTTCCTTTTTTGAGTCAATCCATCTCATGTTGGGTCTTCGTCTTTTCCTGCCGCCTTCAACTTTTCCTTACATTACTGTCTTTTCTAGGAGGTTCTGCCTTCTCATAATGTGACCAAAGTATGAGAGCCTCAGTTTAGTCATTTTAGCTTTTAGGGAGAGTTCAGGCTCGATTTGATCTAGAACCCACGTATTTGTCTTTTTGGAGGTCCAGGGTATTCATAATACTCCCCTCCAACACCACGTTTCAAATGAATCCACTTTCTTCCTGTCAGCTTTCATTGTTCAGCTTCCACTTTGGTATGAATGATCTTGATCTTTGTTGCCAGTGATAAATTCATTCTGAGTAAAAGAGGGCTGCACCCATTTGAGATGGGTTATCATTGCAGTTTGTGGTAAGACATGTTAAGTAGTGCTTTCTTTCTAGGAATTTTTTTGGGTACACTTTATGATGTAAGCCGCTTTGACTCTTAGTGCATGAGAAAAGTGAGGCAAAATAATTAAAAATTTAAGATAAACAAGAGAAGGGAAGGGTCTATATAAGGGACTCTAAAGGTGTGCTCTTTTGCTCCCTCCAAATTGATTTTAATGTTCCTTCAACTCTGGATGGGTCTCCAACTGATGGCTCTAGAACAGAACATGGCTCGGTTGGTACAGAACCAAATCTGACACCTAGAAAAAGAAACTGAAAATTTAAAGGTGTATCAGAGGGGTGGGTGGGTTGCTAGAATGACCAGAAAGGCAGACAAAGATTTTGATGGGAAGAAAGGGCTTCCCAGAGCCAGGGGAAGGGCTGTGGCATGCAGAAGGTCCCAGGTTCAATCCCTGACATCTCCAATTAAAAAGATCAGGCAGTAGGTGATATGAAAGCTCTCTGCCTGAGACCCTGGTAAGCCCTTGCCAGTCTGAGTAGACAATCCTGACTTTGATGTACCAGTGGCCTGATTTAGTATTGGGCAGCTTTGTGTGCTCATGTGTACTTTCCAGAAAGGGAAACGACAGGGGTGAACAGTTGCCAATAAGCGAAGTGCAATCCATGCACAGGTTTATTCCAGTGCACTAAAACAAGCATGAAGGGTGCAACTCTGTACTTTGGAGACCTCATGTGCGCCACTCCTTAATAAAAGACTCACAACAACCAGTGTTTGGGCTGTGGAAACTGCATGGTTTATTAACCACCACAGCAATGATCTGTAAGGTGAAGTGGTATATACCCGGTTATGCATACTGGGCTTTCTTATACTAGCTCTTTGTTGACTTCTGGCTTTGAATTTTGACTTCTAGAGCAATCCTCTGCATTGCAGAGTTACTCTGAGCACCAAGTGGCAGCCAGTTTAGGGGGACCCCATTAGCATTTTCAAGGCAAGAGACCAGCAGAGGTGGCTTGCCATTTACTGCCTCAGTGTAGCAGACAGCCCTGGCATTCCCATCCAAATATTAACCACAGCCAACTCTGATTAGCTTCTGAGATCAGGGGTGATTCTGCATCTGGCATTCGCTCCACATTTTCTTAACACTGATGAAAAGCTGCAGCTCAAAACCACATCCAAATACCCCAGGGCAACTCCATACTGACTGGGAAGTCACCCCTGAACGGCCATAAATCTATGCAGAAGGTACCATAAAACCGGATGATCAGAGAAAGTGAAAGCAGCATGCAATGCAGAGGGGAATTTCTGTTCCAAGGTGGGTTTGGTAAAGCAACGGAAGGAAAAGCCAATACGAATCGCCCTGGACAGGGCTAGCTTGGGCCACGCAGGTTAAGACTGCTTCTATGTGGGTCACCGGGGGAGCGGGGTGGGGGTAGCCGCTGGGAATTGGCTGCGTTGTGCAGGGGGTTGGACTAGATGACCCTTGGGGTTCCTTCCGGCTCTATCTCAGGCCACCGATTTCAAGGGGCTTCCTCTGCGAGGGGATTGCGCTATTCGTTTGGCTCTTTGATGCAGTAGGCAAGGTTACCGACCCTGGGCCAGCTGGCGTGTGCTCGGTAGGAGCGGGAAGGCCCGGCGTTGCGTGGCTCGGACTGCCTTTATTGCAAGCTGCGGAACTGAAAAGAGAGCCAGAAAGGGAAGAAAGGCTGGAGGAGGAGGAGGAGGAAGCGGGTGGCAAAGCTCTTCGGCGACGCTTTCTCCTCCTCCTCTCCCCTCCCTCGTCTCTTTTCCCCTCCCATTTCCCTCCTCCCCAACTTTTCCACCATCCCGGGGAAAAAAGGAGGCGCCGGAGGTCGTGGCATCGCTCTCCCTCCTCGGCGGAGCCATGGAGCTGCTCTGCTGCGAGCGGGCCGCGGCCGCCACGAGGCGCGCCGCGCCTGACCCCAGCCTGGTGCGCGACGAGCGGGTTTTGCGCAACTTGCTGGCGGTCGAGGAGCGCTACCTGCCCAGCTGCTCCTACTTCAAGTGCGTGCAGAGGGACATCCAGCCCTTCATGCGGAGGATGGTGGCCACTTGGATGCTGGAGGTGGGTGCTGCCGCCGCCGCCGCCGCCGGCAGGCAGGCAGGCTCTTCAGGAAGCCCCACCACCACCACGGAGTTGACCCGGCTTGCTCCCGGGAAAGGGTCGGAACGAACCCCAGCCGTTCAACAGGGCTTGCTTGCCGGGGGGAGGGAGGAAAAGTCCGGCGTGGTGGCCGCGGGCCGGCGTCCCTACTCGGAAGTAAGCCCCGCTGAACACGATGGGCTTGCTCGCAGGTAAAGGTGCAGACCCGTGGAGTGCAGCGGCGGTCAAAGGAGCGCGCTCGAGCCTGGGGGGACGGGGACACACACAAGAATCCGTGGCAACTGCCGCGAGCGCGCCTCCTCGGAAGTAAGTGCCGCGGAGCGCGCCGCGGCCCGGACTGGAAGTAGCCTCGCTTGCACTTCAGAGTTAAAAGCGGGGGAGGGGGGTCGTAATGCGGGCGCCCGGATCCCTCCCGAGGGCCAAAGGAATCCTTCCGGGAAAAGAGACTTAATTGTCCTTTTTCAGCCGGGAGGGAGGGAGGGTGGCGGGCGGCGGCGGCGGCTGGAGGGACGTTAACGCGATCGCTTCCGACCGCCTCCTTCCTCCGGTTTCTCTCGCTCGCTCTCTGAGTCTGGAATGCCCTTCCGGGGCTGTGTGTTAGGGGTGCAAAAGGGGGTGGATGGACAAGAAGGGCCGCCGAAGAAGTTTCCAAAGCGGAGGGGGTTTCCGGATCGCGGGAACTGCAGGCGTGGTTGGAAGGTCCCCTCCACACACACACACACACACCCTTTTCGGGGTACCCATTTCAAGCAGTGCATGCCCCAGTTAGGGGCCTCCGCTCAAGTAGTTTAGTGCCCACGTATGCAAAGTTCCGTGCGTGCCGCATTTCTTCACCACCCCCCACCTTCGCCATGCTGCTTGAAGCTCTCTGCTCAGGAAGACGCCACTAACCCTGGTCCGGCCGGGCTGACCCCCCTCCCCACCCCACCCAGTCCGGGGTTGCCATTCCAGGGGTCCGTGATCGTCTGATCGTTCTTTCTTCTCCTTTTGCAAAGCTTCCCAGTAGGGAATAATTCTGAGCACCAGCTGGTGGGTGGCCCCTTGTTTTGAAAGCCCCCCCCCCAAACCTCAACTTACTGGCACCAGGAAGCCAACCCTCTCTTCTTAATATTCATGTGGAATTCGGCCCTCTTCTGTACTATTCTGATTTTTAATTAATTTTTTAAAACACAATCACCGTTCTCTCTTCTCTTGTCCTGTCCTCCCCTCCCTGGAGGGGGGGGGGGGCTAGTGCCTTGCCAAGGGATTTTGGCTGTGGCCAGGAAGGATAACCGATCACCTGAGGGGGCTGTTTCCATATTGGTATCTTTTGAAATTAGGATGAAATGCGGAATTCAGAAGGAGAGAGGACACTGAATCTTGCAAAACTTGAGTGCCAAACTCAGAGGGAAACTCTTTTCTCTTTCTTTCCCCCTCTCCTGGGTGGGATTTCAGTTGGCTCACGTTATGGCGGAATTCATTTCTTACTGAAAGCATCAAAAGAAATGTGAGGATCATTGACACTTTCCAGGCCTCTGGCCTTCCCCCAAATTTACCTTGCTGCTCCCCACCCCTATTTAACTACAGAGCCCTTTCCCCCAAACTGCTTCTAGGTGGCATACTTCTATTTATCCCCCGTAAGAGCATTGAGAGCACACCTTGTGATCGCTGGAGAGTCATTTTATTTTCAGAGTACTGCTTTGGAAGAATTTACTTACAGATCTGGCGGCTGGCCTGGCTGCCTCTCTGAAAGAAAGAAGGTGAGCCCAGAGCGAAGACACTGGCTGTGATCACACACACACACTTAAATAATCCACTTTCAATGCACTTTCCAAGTGGATTTTACTGCGTGTGAACTGGCAAGATCCAATTTGAAAGTGCATTGAAAGTGGATTGTTCAGTGTGTGTGATCGCAGCGTCTACAGGGGTGCTGCAGGGAGAGTGGTTTAACTGTGTTTCCACGTTGGAAGTGATTGAGTGGAGAACTCAAAGCCAGCCGTAGGGGGGCAGAAGCCTCCAGCCGAGGTAGAGTTAGAAGAAGACTCATACAGAGATCCAGTGGTCATCTTCCTCTGTGGAGGACTCCTGTGAGCATTGAGGTATTCCTCAGAGCACGCACAGGGCCATATTTAAACAGAATCACGCTCTCCTGTCCACTGAAACTGGCCTGTTTAAAAAGGTGTAACTCTGCTAAGGATGGTACTGGCTATGGCAGTGTAGCTCTTCAGAAGACCCTTCTGAGTCACTTTCACGTCTAGCAGTGCTGTTTTATGCAGTCACTCTAGTGTAAGCCCAGTGAAATCAGTGGGCTTACACCGGAGTAACTCGGGGCAGGGTAATTTTCCTTTTGCTCCATGGTGCGTTTGTTCCCCCCTTTCCTCACCGACTCATTCTTCTGCAGGTCTGCGAAGAACAGAAGTGCGAGGAAGAGGTGTTCCCCTTGGCTATGAATTATCTGGACAGGTTTCTAGCTGTGGTGCCCACCCCCAAGTGCCACCTGCAGCTTTTGGGCGCCGTGTGCATATTCCTGGCCTCCAAGCTGAAAGAAACCATTCCCCTCACGGCAGAGAAACTTTGCATATATACAGACAATTCCGTCAGACCTCAAGAGCTCTTGGTAAGACACCCCCCCCCCTTCACCTTCTATCTTCTTCACTTTGCCAGACACCTTTTTGTACTCCCCAGTGTACCAATGTATGCTGACTTTATTTCATTGTCTTTTCCCTAAATGGTTCTGTGCGTTTTGTGAGGAGAGCTGCCAATTTAGTTGAAGTGCATATATGTTTCCAGCGTTTTAAGAAGTCTGAATGCCTTCTTGTCGATTGAGCTGATGGGTTGATTGTCCAAATTTTGGAATGTTTGGATGATGAGAGACATTTTGAGACGCAAATAGACTGAACGGAGTTTTGTGTGGAGTAGAGCCCATGTGCTTGAAGCCCCAACTTTCCAAGCCCTGCTCTTTTTCTAAAGGCAGTTTCTTGTTGGTGTTTGACTGCCATCTAGTGTTAGATGACCCTATGACATTATAACTGCTGAGTCCTGCCCGCCCCGCCCCCCCCCCCCCCCCGTTTGCGGATCACCCCCCCCCACCCTTCAAGCTGCCTCCAAGACGGGGCCACTAAAATGCCAGTGTTTTATTGGCCTGATTTAAAGCTATGTGCAGAGCAAAACAAATCTTGCACAGCGTATTCACTGGAAAATAAATGGATCACTGCAGCATGTGTTATTCCTAGTGCTGCCAGGTCGCTGCTGACTTATGGCGACCCCATAGGGTTTTCAAGGCAAGAGATGTTCAGAGGTGGTTTGCCTGCCTCTGAGGACCAGCCCTGGACTTCCTTGGTGGTCTTCCATCCAAGTACTAACTAGGGCTGACCCTCCTGAGCTTCTGAGATCTGACGAGCCGGGGCCATTCCTGTGAGTGCTTAAGCAGGCAGCCTCTCACAGTTGTAAATATCGCCCAGTGTAAGCAGTGTGAGGTGTGCTGGGACATTGTGGCCTTGAAATGAGTAGACTTTTCATTCTTGCTCAGTGACTGGCGGCACGTACCGGATTTCGTTTGGAGGCCTTGGCTTTTGATCTCCCGTGACTGGGAAAAAGCTTTCCTGGTTTCAAGATCCACTGACAGTATTACAGTAACAATGGCTTAGGTCCACAAAGCACAAGGACCAGTTTATACTTGCAATACATGTGTAATAAAGCTTATCCTGGACTTTCATCACTTCCAAGTTATGGGTGGGGATTGCATGTTCAAATACTCCTGATTAAAAAAAAAAAGCTTCCTGAACGCTGAAAACCACCCTGTCTTAGTTCAGCCTAGCCTTTCTGTGTTCAGGGAGGCAGCTTACAGGCAGGCAGACTTTCCCGTGGAGTCAGAATCCTAGGAAAGTGTTACAGTTTGTTTCCTGAGGAATGTATAGACTGGCCCCGGTGTGGTCCCTGCCCTGGTCTGAATGCAGGCTAGCCCGATCTCATCAGACCTTGGGAGCTAAGCAGAGCCAGCCCAGGTTAGTGTTTAGATGGGAGGCCACCAAGGAAGTCCAGGGTTGCTACACAGAGGCAGGCAATTGGCAGTCCACCTCTGGACATCTCTTGCCTTGAGAACCCTATGGGGTCATCATAAGTCAGTTGCGATTTGACGGCACTCGACACACACAGTGTGCTTCCTGGCACTGTTGACACCCACGTTGCTGTGAAAATGAGGTGCCTTTATCTTCTAGTCAAGGAGTTGGTTATTACAAGAATTGTGCTGCTTTGTTAATCAGCAAGTTCAGAGGTTTGGTTTTTCTGTTTTGGGCGTTTACAGGACTAAGCACTACCAGAACTTTTGCTTTCTGGGTGTTGTATCTCTGACCAGTGATAGCTGAATAAATTATGTCCGAGTCACAGTTTTCTGCTTTGGGATGTTAATAATATACGGGAGTTCAGGAAGTGTGAATGAATTGTGCTTCCTATTTTTGTGTGTGCAGTTTGTATCTGATATGGGGGTCACTTCCTTCTTCCAGCGGGGAGATGGCTGTGGTTCCCGTAGTGGTAAAAGCATCTTCCTAGAGAAGAGGTACACCGACTTTGGCTTTGCATGTGGATCATGGGCATGAATGCAGGAAACGTGACTCAGACTTCCTGCTCTGGCACCTGCCTTTATCGTTTAAGGGTCTGCAAGACAGTCGACAAGACTTGTAAATTTTGTTTTTTTTAAAAAACCACTTGAATTTTTTTTTTATTGTGTGAACCTTCAGAACATAAGAAGAGCCCTGCTGGATCAGACCGGTGATCCATCTAGTCCAACATCCTGTTGTCTCACACAGGGGCCAGCAATATAGGCCAAGGCCTTCTCCTGATGTTGATTCCTGGCCCTGGGATTCATAGGTTGACTGCTTCTGAAGTTGGAGGTTCCCTTTAGTCACTGTGGCTACTAGCCACTGATAGACCTATCCCCCATGAATCTATCTAATCCCCTTTTAAAGCTGTCTATGTTGATGTATTATTGGAGCTGTTATGTTTTCTATATTCACTTTTGGCTTAACTTTTAATTATTTATTGTATGTTCTCTCCTGTTGTGAACCACCCTGAGCCAAGGGCGGCCTCAAAACCTAATAACATAAAATAAATTGTTTCTGTTTTGGCTATTGGACACACACACCGTTTCTTGTTCTAGGCTTTATTGTCTTAACATTTACAGGGGTGTGTAAATATTGAATAAATCCCTATTGTTTAATAAGGCCCCCAACCTTATGGAATGGCCTGTCTGATGAGGTCAGGAAGGCTCCCGCTCTCCTGGCTGTTTATCTATTTATTTGCTTCACTTAACCCCGCCTTTGTCCCCAGTGGGGACCCAGAGTGGCTTACATGGTTTTCCTTGCCTCTATTTTATCCCCACAACAACCCTTTGAGGTAGGTTAGGCTGAGAGCATGTGACTACTGCGTCATCACCCAGAGAGTTTCCATGGCAGAGTGGGGTTTTGAACCTGGGACTCCCAGATCCTAGTCTGACTGGTTTTGGCAAACTGTGCAAAACTGAATTACTCAAGAAGGCTTTTTTACACAGAGTTGTACGGTAACAAAATGGTTCAGAAAGTTATTTGGTTAAAGGGTTAGGGAGGTGGTCTCTACTGTTGTGTATAGCTGTTGCTGCCTGTTGCTGTAGGTAGGATCCTAAGATGTAATTTTTGTATAGTTTAGCGTGTCAGGGCCCCGGTCACACGGGCCGGATATCGTGGGGGGGGGGGGGAGGCGTGGCTAATTGCCCCGGCACAGTTTGATCTGCGATTACGCGATCAGGCGCGCCAGCGGCACAGTACGGGTCCGTCCCTCCGCACTGGCAGGTAAACGAGGGTGGCAATCACATGACGATCCTGTAGCGGGGCAAAGAAGCGGCACGGCGCGATCACACCAACAATGGCTAGGCGCTGCTGCTGTGACAAACGGGGTAATTTTTTTTTTTAAGCTGAAATGGCACTTTCGCTTTCCTCTTTGTGTGCATGCGCCGTTGGGTGCTCGTGTGCATCTTGTGGAGACTTGGGGGGGAAAAACCCTGTTTGCGAAGGGACATGGGCGGGCGCTGGATGCCACCACCGGAAACGCGATCAGGCGCCTGCCCTTGCCCCGCGGTTTCCGGAAACTAGTACCTCGGAGGTACTCGTTTTTAACTCCGCATCTTCGGCGGGAAGCCTCGGGTTCGCCACGGGAGTTCTACGCTTCCCAGATGTTGCGGTGTGATTGAGCTCGGAAAATCCGCCTATCTTCCGTCTCTGTAGCGTGGCTAATGCTCCGTGTGACCGCAGCCCAGGTTATGCTTTGCTTCACTTCTGTTTTAAGCTATTCTGGTTAGTTCCAGATTTCTACAATACAAATCCTACTACAGTGTTTATTGAATGCCCCATCCTGTTGATTTGTTGATTATTATTTATTATTTAATTGATTTGTATCCAGGCTTACATCATTCTCTTCTCCTCCATTGTATCTTCACAACAACCCTGTAAGGTAGGTTAGGCCAAGAGAGGGGAACTGACTTGAGGTCACCCACTGAAATTCCATGGGACAACACTCTTAACCAGTGTTCCCTCTAAGCTCAGTTAGTGTGAGCGAGCTCACAGTTTTTTAGCCTCTGGCTCACACATTTTTGTCTTAGCTCAGGAAGGATGGCTCCAGAGCAAACTTATTTATGCTGTAGCCAAATCGCTCACTCACAACTTTAATGCCAGCAGCTCACAAAGTAGAATTTTTGCTCACAAGACTCCACAGCTTAGAGGGAGCATTGCTCTTAACTACTATATCTATCCTGGCTCTCGCAGGATTCACTCTGTGTAATCCATCTTGAGCCTCAGTGAGAAAGGCGGAAAATAAGTAACATAGATAAATTAATTAAAAAAAATAGTAATAGTTTACACTCCTGTAGTTAAATGTGTTTGCTCTCATGGAACTTTGTTTCTGGCCTCTCAGCAGGGACGCTTTCCAAAAATCCATTCTCCTTTCAGGCTGAAATGATGGATGTAGTTCTGCACAGGTAGGCTAATAAGGATGGCTGTGAGCCAGTAACTTGAGGCAACTTGTGCATGGAGCTGCTTTTACCCGTGTTCTTCACTGGAACCCTTTTCTGTCATTCTGCTGATGCTCCTTTCAGTGGTATTCTGGTCCTGGGGAAAGACCCTCATAGAAAAATCAGCATTGACTAATTTTAACCACAAACACATGAACACACATGAAGCTGCCTTATGCTGAATCAGGCCATCTATCAGAGTCAGTATTGTCTATTCGGAATGGCAGGGTCTCAGGTGGAGGTCTTTCACTTCACCTACTACCTGATCCTTGACTTGGAGATACTGGGAATCGGACCTGGGACCTTTTGCGTACCTAGCAGATGCTCTTCCACCGAGCTACGGCCCCTCTGCTCAACAAAAAGCACGATGAAAGGGTGAAAAAAGTGCACACAAAAACTTTGTGCACAGTACACCGTCGGTACATAAAACATGGAAGGAGGCTGTTTTTTTAACACAATGGTGCTTGCTCTTTGATACTACGTCAAAGAATGGCGCAAAGACAGTGTCCGGCCCAATGTTTTTGAATTCAAACAGTCTAATAAAGATATTTTTAGTTCTTTTTTTTTTTTTTGAATAGGCT